TGCCATCGTCTGCTCTTACGAACTTACTCCTAAACATTATAAAGTTTTAATGATACTTATTAGATATATCCCCAAAAATATCTTGAGCGAAAATGGAAGTTTTAAGACCAAAGAAGCCTTTTCCTGATAACAAAAGTGGATAATTGGAATCAACATGGTCAATTATATGCATGAAAAGAAACTTTCGGATCGTGAAGGTGACTTGTGATTCAAAAATCAAATTGAAATATTCACAATTTTCGCCAAATCATAAGCAAAACATCAAATAAAAAGTTTTCCATCTGAAAATAACTAAAACAATGGACTATGAAAACACAATGATTATCTTAACCTGTCATTTTATCTTATTTTTTTCTCATATGTAGTATGGCTGCACTGCCTGTTCTTCTTGGTGGTCTTGCAATTAGTGGTGGCGCACTAGCATTGAAGAAATATCTGAAACCTTCGACTGTTACACCATATGATGTTGTTATTCGTATCAATAGTCTTACTGATCTGAGCACAGACGGTTGGGAAATTATACTCAGTCAAAATACAAATGACATTACACCAACAGTGGCAACACCAGAGAACAGTAATGGTGTAGTAGTTGCTGTGCTTGGTTCATATAATCGTGGCAAATCATTTCTACTTAATCAGCTTTGTAATATTCGGCTTCCTAGTAATAATATAATACATACGGAAGGTATATCAATTACAGCAGCAAGAGAACCTTATAAAGACATTATTTTCATAGACACTGCTGGTACTGATACACCAATACGACACGATAAACTCGATGATAAAAAAGCCACGGAAGCGCTTCTACGAGAAATAGCTCTTCATCTATGTTCTTACGTCACCATTGTAGTGAATCGTTTACGTATGACAGATCAAACATATATTCGAGAGGTATTGCAGCATATCACAAAGCAGCCAAAAGAGAAGAAGCCAGAGATTATCATTGTTCACAACTTGCTAGACGTTGAAACAATTGAAGACATCAACAAGGTAATCAAAGATGAAATTGAAGACATTTACGGTGCTAAACTTGAAAACGTGCGACCACAGATCAATGGTCAGGTTAAAATAATTAAATTGTATTGCTCATCATATGAGAGTATCAACATTCGCCATTATATTTTGGCTAAAACTGGTTCTCCTGCAGCCAACATATGGAATAGTCAATCTCTTGATGCTATCATGAATATTTTCCAAATGGATACAGGAAATAGACGCAGCCTTGATGTTATCAACAATATTATAAGCTTTGTTAACACTAAGCTTCCTCAATTATTTCTCAATTCAGATGGCAATGGGCATGATTCCGAAATTGAACGAGAGAAGCTGATGGTCGATAAGCATGTGAGCGAACCATATATTGTACTTTCTCATCGAAAAGAGCTCTCACGCGAAGATCGCAAAACACAACCTTTTACGTTGAAGGTGTCACCAAAGCTCATATATGACGATACAGGTTATTTAATTGGAATTAATTCAATCGATTGTGGACAGTGGCAGCCTCGTTATAGCGTATACGAGGATGCTGATTATTTTAAAGCAATCGTCGAACTTCCAGGCTTTAAACAAGGTGAAACTCGTGTTGAGATGCTTGAAGATGGCATTACTATTAAGGGTAATCGAGATGATTTCAAAAAATTACTGAATAGTCCAGTCATCCATGATTCACAAATTCCTATCGGTTCATTTAAATTAAACATTCCTTTACGTTGCAGGATTGAGAATAAAGAAGCAAAACTAGAACGTGAAGATGGCTTGTTTAAGATTACATGTCCAAAAAAGAAAGCTACTGTAATTTATCTTGAATAAAACTTAGAGGTATTTGGTTTTCGATAGTGCTACCAAATAATTAACAGTTTTATTTATTGACATTAAAGATTTGTTCCTTTTACAAGATGGTTTGTCCATGAAAACCTTAGGACCCTGAGCACGTACACTACTCATGTCGATCTTCTAACAGAGTTTTACTCCGCGACATGTTGCTGTCTTAGCAGTTCGTTTTTAACCCCCCGCTCCCCTCTTCTTTTTCTTCATTCGCATCTATCGCATGGAAAAATGAGAACAATATAACACATGAATTCCACAATGGCCATTTCCTTTACATCTACCTAATCCAATCAATAGCACGTGTGGGAATGAATTCTGTAACTCGCGTCAATCATTCATAGATTGCGTATACATTTTGCACTAAGAATCTACAGTGATCCACGAACCGGTGCATTAGTGAAGTGGTTTGAGCAAGAGCGAAAAGCTGGACTTCACGACTTTGAAATCCCTTGAAGTCCACTAAAGTCCCACGGAGTCCATTGAAATCCCATGAAGTCTGCTGGAGTTCCTTAACATAATCTTCTGGTTATAAAGATATTCAGAAAAGATGTTTCATTTGAGAATATATTCTCTGATAGTGTGGTGCAATGTCATTCATTTATCTATATACATATTTTTAATGGTTCTTTCCGATGTAAGCACATTCTGAAGAAGAGACCTAATTCGAATGATGATTAGAACTGCAATAACAATCAAACAATCACACCTTCATTTACATGTGGAATTTTTGGATTCTTTTAAAATTGCGTATGCATTTTGCATTAAGAGTCTATAGTGAGATTAACAGTCGCATTCATCTTATCTTATACTTTACAAGGAATTTGTTTTTATAGAATATACAGATCCGTTTGAGCTATTGCGTTGCAACACCTGTATTTCATAAAACACTCGGACAGTTTAAAGAGTTATATCGAGAAAAGCGACATACTGGCAGGGGTCTTATTTGGATGACCCCGTAACTGGTGGAAAGCGAAGTCCTTTCATCTTTTCTATTGTTACAAAGTTGAACTAAATGTTTTTCTTAAGTGTGGCTAAGTCAGAAGGTATTTTGGAAAATCAAATTCGAAATAGCATTTAGCACTTTTTCCCATCTCACATACGACAACATTTGGTAAGGAAGAACGGCTTATTTTTACATAGTGACCTGAAAGGAATAAATGCGACCGTTACTAGAACGCTAAAGAGTGTTTGGTCTTACCAAACATCTGTGTCTGGAATTTTTGTTTTTAAGGTACTCAACGTAAACATATTGAAGGGAAAATCAAGTATTTCTTGTTCATCTGTCAATTGTTTTTTACATTGTTTTTACAGCTAGGAAACTCGGGTTCTCTTCCAGACAACCTTCCAAACGATGCATAGGTTATATCAACCTTTTCTGACAATATAATATGCAGAATTCTTCCCTATACAATACACCAGGAAGTTTCCCTTATAGCATAAACTAAAATATTTCAAATGTAAAGGCCATAGCCTAAATCATGTTCTTTTACAGTGTTTCCATCCTGGATTAACAACTAGAGACTTTTGAGATGAGTAGCTATTCGAAAAACTTGAAACGGCATCAACCATGAAAGACAGTGGTTTCCTTGGCTAATTTTGTTTACATAACGATTAATTAAAAATACGCGCTTATCTCAGGTTATAACTCGCGTCAGTCATTCATGGATTGCGTATACATTTTGCACTAAGAATCTACAGTGATCCACGAACCGGTGCATTAGTGAAGTGGTTTGAGCAAGAGCGAAAAGCTGGACTTCACGACTTCGAAAGCCCTTGAAGTCCACTAAAGTCTCACGGAGTCCATTGAAATCCCGTGAAGTCTGCTGGAGTTCCTTAACATAATCTTCTGGTTATAAAAAAAGCCAGTACGTTTGTTCTCCGAAAATGAGTATTCCGTAATGAGTGATTCCGTAGCACTCTCATGAAGTGCGATGCTTCCTGGTCTCAATTTTGAGGCATCTTGAGCTGGTGCTGTGCCCTATGAACATGTTTCTAAGCCAGTCATCCCAAATCTTTCACTCTCTTTCGTTTTTCTCTAAATATATGTATATGAGAATACTGGTTCTAGTTTGTCCGCTTATTTCCAAAATGAGGCGGCGTACCAAATTCTTCGTCTCGATTTGGACTGAAATTATATAAGTCACCAATAGTATAAAGAAAAGATGTTTCATTTGAGAATATATTCTCTGATACTGTGGTGCAATGTCATTCATTTATCTATATACATATTTTTAATGGTTCTTTCCGATGTAAGCACATTCTGAAGAAGAGACCTAATTCGAATTATGATTAGAACTGCAATAACAATCAAACAATCACACCTTCATTTATATGTGGAATTTTTGGATTCTTTTAAAATGCCCTGGCAAAGTAAGTGAGGTTTCTAAAAAAGCAGATCATGGAATTTTGCAGTTTTGGATTTTCACATCAGCCATTGTATAGAGCATATCAAGTTACACATGTCAAGCTATTTTCATAACTACTCGATTAGTTTTGATGGAATCAGAAACTTTAGTTCAAGTATTGCTTTGAAGCATACATATATACGTGCATGGTAATACTTTTGTGTTTGGAAAATTTAAAACTTAGTTAAAACTATTCGATTAGTTCCAATAATACCGTAGGGGGCGAGAAATTCGTCCGATTTTCCGAGAGAAAATCTTTCTCCAAAATGACCGGATCGATGATTTGGGCTCTCACAACATCATCTACTGTGAAAGAACGAAAGCATGTCTGGAGCTCGCGGTTGTGTGACATCTGTGTCTGGAATTTTTGTTTTTAAGGTACTCAAGGTAAACATATTGAAGGGAAAATCAAGTATTTCTTGTTCATCTGTCAATTGTTTTTCACATGACGGTTAACAAATGGTCAACGATCGAAACTAGACACCTGAGGCTAGCACCAACGGTCGTTAAAATCATTTCTGAAGCCGGGTTTTCAGGGGATCTGTGGAAAACTAGTTTGGTTCTCTGAAAGCGGACATTGAAATAGGTTAATTTTTTCCATAGATATATAGCTCGAAATGTCCTCTACAAAACTGAATCTAAGAGAAATGAATGAAAAGATAG